CCTTACGAAAATTAATGATGATTTTACTATAAATCCAAAGACAATGGTTACTATTGTTAAACCATGGTAACCACAAATTAACCATGGTTTTTGCTACACTAACCATAGTTTAACCATGGAATTTGTAGTAAAAATGAATACTGTGAAAAAATGAAAATGGTAATCCATTTGCCAAATAAAATGGTTACTGTACTTTTACTATAATAAAAGCATTGTATTTTTGTAAGGGAAAAACATGACTCATGTTCAGTAGGATTTTTCTATAAAGATATTGTAGTGATGTACTAATTTTGACATGTAGGCAATTTAGAAAGTATAGTTTTGTTAAATCTTGAGTATTAAAGTCATGAGAGAGATAGATATCAGGGCAAAATAAAGAGACTGAAAATAAAAATGTACAGTGGGTATTTTTTTCCCAGTCCGCCCCTCGTGGAAATTAATGGCGCAATCATGCGGTTTCATTTACTACACATAGGCCTACTGAAGCTCACAGTGTTTTCAGCCTCTGCCACTTCAATATATGAGTACATGAACACAAACACATAAGCTCTAGAACTGCTGAGTCACTTCATGAGCATTTTACTTATTCTGAGAAATCTATTTCATATCATGTATACAAAGAGACGCCAATGTTTCAAAAAGACACCGATGTTTCAGGAGTTTAGTACACAGAATAGGACACATGCTTATTAGATAACCGTATTTGAGTTGATGTATATGCTTTTATTTATTATAATTTTTTAATTAACTATTTTTTTTCCAAACCATTGTTAGATGCAGTGTTTCCTGTAGTTATGCAAAGATTTGGTTTCAAAAACAGTATCAGTAAACTATTTCTTATGATTTTAAATCTGCATTGAACTTCAGATCAATCTCAAAGTAAAAGGCGGTACTAAAGTCTGATTTTGTGGTGGATGTGTTCAAATTTGATCATCTTAATTCAAGTGACGAAGGATTTTGAAAGTCTGAGCACTACTGTAAGGTTAACCCTACATGGTGTAAATGTTTGAAAATGATTAACAGTTGCAAATAAACATTCATTAGAAATGTAGAAAAGTAATCAAAAAGTAATGAAAAGTAATCAGTTACATTACTTTAATAAAGTAACTGAAAAAGTTACACTACTATTACATTTTAAATAGGGTAATTTGTAATCTGTAACCTATTACATTTCTAAAGTAACCTTCCCAACACTGGAATTTCATTGTATGGACGGACAAAAAAAACAAACAAAAAAAAAACTTGTGTAGCATCGACAAAAACAAGTCATACAGTTAAAACATATTTTATTTGTATTATGGCTAACTGCTTCATTAAAATAACAGCAGCTCAGGCTCACTGCGAATATATGTCTGTGGAAACATTTCTGCAAAATTATATTGCATTACTTCTTGCATGTTTGGTGACAATTTCAATGTAAAAATCGAAAATGCACAGTAAAATGCATCACTTAAAATGCATTGAGGTTTATCTGAAACAAATAAATGTGAAACTGACAAGGTTTTATTACAGTACATTGGTTGTTGTATGTATTGCAACTGTTTGAAAATTAAATGTCAGGTGTTCAGCACTCTAATATTAATGCTCTATCTGGTTGAAAACAATGTATCACCTACACTAAACCTAACTGATAGTGTTAACAAAAGCAAACATGCGACTAAAACGCATTTGCTGAAGCAACCATGCCATTTTAGTTTGCTTCTACAAGTCTTTGAGCTCTTTAATCGTGACTTGTTTCACAGGATTCGCACTAGAGCGCACAGAGTCCACATCACAAGTGCAATGCTGTACCAGGTGCGCTACCGAGCAAGTTTACCATGTCAGAAAACTCATATGGAGCAGATTATGCCATTCAAACATTAAAATGCATTGGCTTACAAATAATGCATTGTGGTAAACGTGTTTAGAGGTCATAACCAAGGCTCAAATTGAGGGGGATGGCATTTTTGACATTGTCGGGCCATTTCAGGCTCCACAAGGAAAACCGCTTATAAATCATAGTCCATTTAGTAAAAACATACTTTTTGTTAAATGAAAATGTTTGAAAATTAAACAAATTGTGTCATCATTATGTAAAGTTAGCTAAATGAATGGCTGAATGAATGGCTGGCTGAATGAATGGCTGAATGAATGAATGGCTGAATGAATGAATGAATGAATGAATGAATGGCTGAATGAATGGCTGAATGAATGAATGGCTGAATGAATGAATGAATGAATGAATGAATGGCTGAATGAATGAATGAATGAATGAATGAATGGCTGAATGAATGAATGAATGAATGAATGAATGGCTGAATGAATGAATGGCTGAATGGCCGAATGAATGGCCGAATGAATGAATGGCTGAATGAATGGCCGAATGAATGAATGGCTGAATGAATGAATGGCTGAATGAATGGCCAAATGAATGAATGAATGGCCGAATGAATGAATGAATGAATGAATGAATGAATGGCTGAATGGCTGAATGGCTGAATGAATGAATCAATGGCTGAATGAATGAATCAATGGCTGAATGAATGAATGAATGAATGGCTGAATGAATGAATGGCTGAATGAATGAA